CATTTCTCGCCATATCGGCCGAGTAACAACAATTAGTCAAATCTAAATTTAAACCATTACTAAGCAATAAAGAATAAACTCCAATCTTGGTCACATGCGACACTTTCCTATTTCCCATGATTAAGCTTATCTTCCCGTGCTCCACATCCCTACGTCTTTTTAGTCCCTGTAAATCAGAACAAATATGAATACCACAACCAGTATCAAGGACCCAAGAATTAGCATGTGATGAGTTATTAGATTGAATAGTGTAAATACCTGCAAAGGAGGGTTTGATCTTCCCATCCTTAATGTACTGCAAGTACTTGGGCAGCTTCGTTTCCAGTGCCCTTTATCATGGTAGTGAAAGCACTCTGCTTCTTTCGGATTGGAAGAGGGATTAACAAAACCAGCTTTGGTCCCACTTGAAGAGGATCCATCAAGAGATTTTCCCTTGCGGCTCTTGTAGTGAGCCTTCCTCTTCTATCCCTTTCCATGTCTGATTGCCAGAACAGGGGCAAAAGTAGTAGTGGGAGTAGACACAACCGACTTGCTTTTCAGATTGCTTTCTGCAGTCCTAAGAAGTCCTTGAAGCTTGCTAAGAGTGACCTCCTCCTTGTTCATATGATAAGTCATACGAAACTGATCTTAACAAGAAGGTAAAGAGTGTAGAATAATATCGATGGCCAACTCTTCATCAAAATTGACATTTAATTTAAGCAAGTGATCCACGAATCTCTGCATCTTCTGCAAGTGGGTCGTGATGGGTTCACCATCCTTCATTTTGGTTGTGATCATGGAGGCAATGATCTCATACCTCTCCTGCCGAGCACTTTGATGTATCTTTCCATCAAATCATGATACATTTCATAAGGATAGTAGTCCTCATAGGACTTCTACAGCTCAGCTGTCATGGTTGCAATCATTACACACGACACCTTTGTCGCATCCCTCTCATGAGTAGTGTTTTTAGCGATTTTTTCAGGAGTAGCAGTGGTGACATCAATCTATTTGAGCTCTTTATCTAGGACATATTCTTTATCCTCATAACGAATAGCCATCCTGATGTTTTGAGTCCAGTCATTGAATTCAAGCCATCGAAAATGACCCTCCCACATAGGTTCATGAGGGAGAAAGAGCCTGAAGGGATTGGGTTGGAAGTATTGTTTGGGACAGACATCTGTAAAAGAAGAAGAATAAAGTTTAGATTAGATGATAATCCTTAATATTACACCTAAATGAAATATTAAGGCTAGGACCCAACACAATATTCTACAATTGCGAAAAGGGATGCCGTAATCCAATTGTAAAATATTTGAAGGTAGGTAAATGACGATTTACCAATTTCCACCATGAAAAACGAAATAGATTATTAAGTTTTAATTGGATTTGAAATTCCTAGATCTTTGAGAGTCATTGAACTTTTCAATGGCATGTTTAAATCTCGATTGTGCCCTTTAAGTTTGTGACTAGGATGCAGAGGTTCACAAACAAGGAGTGAATAACCATGCAAATTAGCTTGGTATACCCAATGTTACAGATCACCTAATCAATGTGCCGGTTAACCACACACACTCCATTGATCTATGATTAACACCAAGTTACCATTTGCCACACATTGTCAATCCCAGATTAGTGTGCCGGTTAACCACACACGCTCATCTAACGACTTAACAAGGTGCAAAGTGTAATTTCATGGATTAGCACCATTTCACATTTTTTCTAAAGTAACTAAGATTGAGAATTTTAATAAAAGTTTAGTTACTTATATTTTATCATTATAGTTTTAATGAGGGAGAATTAATGTCCTATCCTACCCGTTCGGCTAACGACCCTCCACCAGTCAAGGAAGCGGTGGGTGAGAGTGGACACCCATTAAACTACCATTTTATAGGCATTAACCTTATACCCCCTTATAGACCGGCTTCATGAATGAGGCCTACTAACGGTAAGACGGACTTTGTCTTACATATATATATATATATATATATATATATATATATATATATATATATATTATTAAACTTATAATATTGTAAAGTATAAAGGTTGAATTTTAACTTTAAAAATCTAGGGTTTGGAATTAAAGTTTCATTAGTGTGACTTTACAAATTCCAAAACTTGAGGGCAAGTTTTAAAACTTGTCAAAACTCTTCACATTCATAACTTATGAGTTTAATAGGATTTTAATGTATGAGACCTTTCATTTTCCATAACTTGAGGACAAGTTATGGAGGTCATTAAAATTCATTTAGATCATTTTTTCTAACAACAAAATTATCACATAATTTATGATCTAACTAAACTCATACTCAAGATAATTTCTAGTCAACAATTTGAAAGCAATTTTGGTTTATCATATAAAAACAACAATTATTTTAAAACTTTGACAATTATCTTGTGGTTGGATGAGTGCAAGCACTACCATATCATAAAAAACATTTCCAATGATCCAAAACAGTTTGTGGTAGTATTCCAAATCCAAACCACGCCAAGAAACTCGAAATTCTACACACAGAGCCTTCAACTCGTCGAGTACATGAACTGGACTCGGCGAGTTGCTCTGTTACTGAGTAGACTCGTCGAGTCTGTTCATGTACTCGGCGAGTTCACCAGTCAAATGCCAAAATTTCGACTTTTTTAGCTTTGAAAAACTAGTCAGCATCAAATATAATAGAAAACAATCCTAGGCTCTGATACCAGTGTTGGGTTTTGAGCACTATAACACTCCTATGGTGCACATGCAACCCTAAATGCTTTGTATCTATGTTTTCTCTATTTTACATGCATATTTTCAATTTTTCCAAAGCATTGTCCTAACTAGCATAAAAATTGCCAAATGAATAAAACATCTAGATAGATGACATACCTTTTGAAGGACTTGTAGTTCTTGACCTTTGAAAGCTTTAGCACCTCAAGTGTGATGCCTCTAATGGTTCACAAACACCAATATGCAAGAGGATGATTTAAGAGAATAAGCTACTTATCTCAAAGAATAGGCAACCAATTTTGGCTCATGGAGGATTCTATTTATAGTGTTGCTCATGCTAGGGTTACACTTGGTAAACCCTAATAACCCATAACTTTCCACATTCTCATGCTCCATGGGTTTAACCTCCACTACTAGAATATAGGCCTTTAATGACACGCGAACCATGACACGCAGTGATTTATGATACGCAAATGTGTGTGTCCAAAAAATAATGTCATCTCTCCCAAAATTTAAAGGATTTAGGACACGCATTTTTGCGTGCCCTAAAATTAGTGTCTAAAAAAAAGCGTAGGGCACCTATAATAAAATGTGTGTCGTCTAAGGATGTCGTTTTATAAATTTTAATAGAACGCGCGTTTCATCCACGAGGGAAAATGAAATCCCAAAAAAAATAAAACCCCGCCTTCCTTTTTCCTCCTCCAATTTAGTTTCCCTCTTGCCCTAATTATCGACGTTCCTTCCTTCCCCCTCCCCACATTGACTGCCTCTTACTTTTTCCCTCACACTTCGACCATCGTTACTTGCCCTTCCCGATCGTCGACGTCGATCAAGGCAACAGTAGGCACGCCATCTCCGAAGTTATGTATATCACTGGCTTTTAATTTCACGTATTCGGTAGCTTCTCTTTATGGGCATCTCTAATCTACTCAATTTATACCGCATCGATTCCTTTTTTTCCTCTTTCATTCTCTCTACAAAAAGCCCTAATCTATGAACCAAGGTAAATCAACAAACAGTTTCTGAACATCTTAACTCTAGATGATATACATAATTTGGTCCAATTAGGGCTTAACGAGATTCGTAAAAATAGTTAAAAGGTCGATACGTTGATGAACAATGGTCGGAACTCATCAATTGTTCAAGATGCTTCAGTAGAAGTGAACTCATAATTAATGAAACCCTACAGGTACATATTTTCAAGACCTTCTGGAAAACGATGTTTTGTTGTTTCATCAAATGGAACAGCTATCAGCAGATGACGCAATGGCTGTCTCTTGCACCGATTTCCATCTTCTCTACCTAATGGTGCTAGAACCAGAGAAGGTTCTCGATCTGCTCAATAATATTGCATTCTTGACTGCATATTTCACGAGGTAATAAGCATCACTTACATATGGGAGTTACAGTTTTTTATTTTAGTTTAGCGTTCTGAACTTTTGATGATGATCTTTTGTATATTATATGATCACAACTGGATCAAACCTACTATCTAATCGACAATTGTCTATAATCTGGCCAGGAATCTGTTTTTATGAATGCACAACTGAATTCAGATTTTTTTGGATGAACAACAAGCTTGTTGAGTCAGGAGCTTGTGAGGATCCATCTACTTACCATAGGTATAGATTTAGCCTCATTGTAATTGTAATATGACTTTTATTACTGTTTGTTTCAGGTAACAAGAGATGTATCTCTTTTATATCAAGGTGGATGGCTGTTGATCTTTACACAAGGGAAGTTGATAACCTCAGATTTGAACTTTCCATGAATCAATGTAGCGATGTCCTTGCAAGATGAGCACATGAAATCGTAATTAAAGGTTTTTCACATTCCATTTTTATTATATTATATTATAATACTCATGTCCTGTCCTGTAGATTAGGTTTGTTTAGATTACTATCAAGTTTTTTGTTTAAATGTTACATTGTAGTAATGAGAACTTGGTGAGAGATACATACTTGCGAAAAAACATGGATGAATAGGTCTGGGTTCCTGCTAGCTTAATAGCAGGCTTAAAAAAATAGTACTTTTTTTTGCTAAAAAACAATGATTTCTTATATAGTTCAAATATCTTTTGTTGTATTACAGGTTTCTTATTTGACAGATAACATTCAACTAATATTAGATGCTATGCGAAGTTTGACAGTTGTGGAAGTGCAGGTACCTTTTATAATATTTTAATCCCATTAATTGGATTTCTTTTACTTTCTAGTAATTTCAATATTTGAATTTAGAAAGTGAAAGTAGTTGAATGATTTTGTTGTAGGGTGAGAAGATACGGAGGTGAAATGATTGGATGAAGTGGATGATGCCTGTAGGAGGTCCATCAAGTCCTCAAGCTGTTGTTGGAAGATCTTCAAATGATAATGAAGAGTTGGTGTCACAGCTTCAGGGTGTTCATCTTGCAACTTCTCAGGAAAAATCCACTACTCATGGAGGTTCAATGGTATGCAAAACATCCATTCCATTTACTTCCTGACACGTGTCAACCATTTTTAATCTGGAATTTTGGATGCACAGCAATCATGTGGGTCGGGAATTCTAGCTGATGGACGGCTTGCTGATCTAATATGAAGAGATCTATTTTTGGGATGGTACTCATGAAGCTCGACCTCCGTCAGGTTCGTTGATCAACATATAAATTAAAAACAAATTAAAATTTAAATATGATTTTTAATCACAATTCAATTCACAGGAATCTGGCAGACACTCAGAGACTCCTGTACGCGTTGTGCGTTATCTTTTGCACTTAGTCTTATAATAGTTTGTGTTTCTATTCATATTAACTGACTATATTACCCTTATGGTAGTTAGCTTTTGTATCATTAATGAACTAAACTTTGTTCTCTGTAATGTGCAGACAAGGCAAACTGTTCTTTTTTCTGCAACTCAAACAAAGAAGGTAAAACCTTTTTCATATAAAAGTTTGTGTTTTTATTCATATTAACTGACTATATTACCCTTTAGTCTTATAATAGTTTGTGTTTCTATTAATAATAATTGTTGAATTTTTTGATTGATTAGGTGTCTTGATTGAAATGCAGGGGTAGTGGGTGTTGGTATTCAACATTAAGACTGTTGTAGAGTACAAATAGTCAACAACTCAATTGAATAAGACAAAAGAAAAAAAGGAATGGAGGTTCTTCAGTACCCCCTCCCCCAATCGGTTTGTTTTTGATGAGATTGGATTTGGGTATTGTTGTGCAGCACGTTCTGGAAAATAGAGGATGATGGAGGAATGGGCAGCTTGGGTGGTGATGCTAACACTCATCCTTATGTCTTCTCGGTTTCAACTAAATAATCTCTTTTGTATTTTAAGTTGTATTATATCACTCATGAATTTTGCTTCATCCCGACCCTATTTTTTTCCTACTCATTACACTTGTTAATTGTTTTAGGAAGATGCAAAACGGGCACTAGATTCAACTTCAACTCCAACTCATTCAGAATAAGAACCTGTGCCTGTCAATGATCAAAGCTCCGACCCACTTGTCTTGTATGGCGAGGTGAGTAGTAGTAGTAGTAGTAAAGTTATGTGATGGATATAAATAACCAAGTGGATCACGGGTGGGTTAATTTGATTCAATCAAATCCTACGTGAGCTACAGTTCAGTCAATTTGATTCCTATGTTATTTTATTTCTTCCTTTTTTATGTTATTTGACTCTTTCAAGGCAGTTATTATTTTTTCCCAAAAATGTAGCTACATGGGTGGTTGTATCCCTTTCTCTCGTATGTATTCCCAGAAGAAGGAATGAAAAAGGCAGTTTTTGATTTGCTACACAAACCTACCCAAATCAAGCCACCAGTTGACTCATCACCCTGGTGAAGTGGTGAACCATCATCAAAAGTTAAGCTACTTATTAGATCTCCATGATTCCTTTGATTTTGTTGTTACTTGTATTATTAAGTTTGGGATTTCATTGTACTTTCTATTTCTAAAGTTAACATAATTTCCAAATCTGTGGGTGCTCTTTTTAGTTTGCCTCCCCTAAAAATTTATGTGTTCCATTTTTGCCATTTCTAATTTGTCTGGTCTTTTTGTGATCGAGTGAGTGTGTGTGTGTGTGTGTTTAGGTATGTTGTTATGAACATTTCCTTTGGTTTACTTGTAGGAGGTGAGCATTCTATGATCTGTTTACTACAATGCAGAGCTTATGCTATTTGTTTCCTGCAGTGAATCTCATTATTTAACATGTACTTTCTTTATCGTATCATCATGTGTAGTTGACTGATTATTTCAATCCTGATTTTCCAGTTGCAATCATGGCATGGATATATTGCATATGAAGGTCTTACAATTTATTGCAAATCATATACTTGAGTTCTGTAATCATTTTTCCATTATTCTCATGGGTCATGAGTTGAATATATGGTTAATCTAGACATATAGAGTAAGTCATCTATACTATATATGAAGTTTCTTATTATACAAATGCATACCAGGAATTATATGCTCGGATACAACTTTGATTTACCGGTGGAAGCACGATGATCACATGAGAAGTCACGTGCATTCACGACACCTTGTTAAGGGGTATGATTGTAATGTCTCCTCGAAATCGGAGCCCAATATTAGTCCTCAATTCCCATCTTATCCCTAGTATTTATGCTATCTCCTAGCATCATAATTGTCTCAAGTATAACCCCTAGAACTTGACCTTCAACGCCGTGTCTTTACCATTGCAGGTATATTTTTCTCATTGGCTTCTATATTTGAGTGTTTCCTCTTGTCAAGTTATCATCTGTGTGCGCTTTTCACACTAGCTTTCATAAGTTAAGACTTTTCTCTAACTTAATTGTTAAAATGTTTGATACAATTTCTTAAGGATTTCAGTCTAGAAATCCGATCTGGTTGTTTTTCCTTAATTTGGCTTTGACCTGATACTGGTTGCTTTTATGTAAGTAAATCTATGATACTGGTTGCATTTATGTGTTCTAGATATAATGAAAACTCCAATAATGGGAACATCATTGCAGAGCCAGAGATGGAGAAAATGTTGTATATTTTGTATCTGTACATTGTGTTTTAAACTTTTACTGATGATTTAAGATCTTATAGGGAAGAAAATACATGGATTTAGGAAACTTCTAACGGCTTATTAGTTTAGACAATTTTTCAAACTAGTTCACTATCAATTTCTAATATATATCGTTGTTGTGCATATGTTTGTTTTGAGTTTAAACTTGTAAATTCTTTAAAGTTTACTGTAAACATGATTGTACAGTATCTTATATGCAATGTTCGAAACATGGAATAACATAGTCTTTGGAAACTTGGAATACATAGTCATAGTTTGACTTAATTAGTTGCTTATTTAGTTTATTAGTTGCTTGTTTTCTAACTTATTATAGTCACTGATTGGTTTTTTGTTATGCTTAAATCTTAACAGCTATCATGGAAACCTTCAACAGTAAATTTGGATCGATACCTTCTAGCAGAAGATATCATGTACGTGTTCTTGTGCTGCTATTGTGGAGTCGGGAACATCCTTGCTTACTGGAACAACTGTATGTATCTCACATGAAGCTTCTGTTAGAACTATTAATCTCAGGGATTTCAAGTTTTCATATTTCTTGTATCTAATTAGTTTGTAAATTTCTGTTACAACTTCTATTGATTTGTTTTATCTTTCCATGGAACGATTATTTGTATGACATTAAATTTTATGCAATGGATTTTATTTTTTGTATATGATATTTTATTTTCTATTATGAGATATTAAATGCAAATTTAATTTGAAAATTAGTAAATTTATAAATAATATATTTTTTTTAAACATTTAAAATTACGATACACAAAAATGTGTGTCATCTTCATTTATGACATGACCTTTCTTGACAGGGGATTTAATGATACGCAATGCGAGTCTTAAATGCGCGTCGTAAGGTTACGACACGCAAATACGTGTCGTCTTCCTTTATGACAGAGCCTTCCTTGATACGCATTGCATGCCGTAAATGAGCGCCGTAAATGCGTGTCGTAAATGCGTGTCGTAAATAGACGACGCGCAAAAGCATGTCGCCTCTCGTTATGACAGGGCCTTCCTTGACACACATTTGCGCGTCGTCTGAGCGTTTTACGACACACATTGTGCGTCGTAAAAGGCTGTTTTTCTAGTAGTGCTCCATGGACTATCCATGGATTAGTTTAGCCCATAATCATGGATCATTAGCCCACAATACAAGAATGATTGATTTACATAATCAATCCCCATATATTTAATTAGTCTCTTTTAATCACAAAATTAATAAATTAATTCTTGATCAATACTAATTAAATAATTTTGTATTAAAATATTATACTTGTAATATATTAATAAATCATAAATAACCTTATTCTCAAAATCCATCCTATCAAATTGCACTGGTGAAGGCAACCCAAAAGGACCATGCTACAATCGGGTCAAGTACATAGCAATTATAGTTATAGGCTTACACACCAAATCCAACACAAACAACTTTGGGTTCCTAAATCTGCTTAACTTTCATAGGTAATACGTGACGAGCAGTTTGACTCTGAATGGTACATCGACAGTGGCTGCTCGGGTCACATGACAGGTAGGAAGGAGGAACTGTGAGAGTTTAGAGCTCTAAAGGATGGAGGCAGAGTGAAATACGACAACAATTTGCTTGGTGAAATCAAAGGTTATGGGATGATAACCAATGGAGAGTTTTCAATTCGCAAAGTCGCATACGTGGAAGAACTACAACACAAGCTCATTAGTGTTTCGCAGTTAGTGGTGGGGACAGGACTAAAAGTTTCATTTGACGACAAAGGATCAGAGATCATCGAAAAGAAGTCCAAAACTATGCTCCTGAAATCGAAATGCAAAGGCGAAATGTATCCGCTGAATCTGAATCCCATCCAAGGGAAGCCTGCAATCTGGTTACTTGCGAAAGCTTCTACTGATGACAGCTGGCTGTGGCACAGGAGACTCTCGCATCTCAATTTTAAAGATATCAACAAGCTTGTTCGTGGTGATAATGTGCGAGGATTACCACTCCTGAAATTTGACAAAGAACATCTCTGTGCAGCCTACGAAATGGGGAAACAAAGCAGGAAGAGTCATCCAACGATTGCCAACACGAAAGTCAGAGAACCGCTAGAACTCTTGCATATAGACCTTTGTGGTCCTTCTGCAATTGAAAGCATTGGTGGTAATAGATATATTCTTGTTATTGTAGATGATTTTTCCAGATTTACTTGGGTGCATTTTCTTAAGCAGAAATCAGAAGCAACTCCTAAGCTCAAGGACTTCATAAAACAGATAGAGCTACAACTGCGAAAGCTGGTTCGTAACATTCGCAGTGACAACACTCTAGAATTCAAAAACCAAGCGTTTGATGAATTCCTGAATGCGAAAGGAGTAACTCACAACTTTTCGGCTCCTTATACTCCTCAACAAAACGGAGTCGTTGAAAGACGAAACCGCTCGTTGTACGAAGCTACGAGGACCATGCTGTCATTCGCAAATCTGCCACTTTACTTCTGGGCGGATGCGATAGGAACTGCTTACTTTACCCAAAACCAATCTATCCTCAATAAGTGATTCTCTGTCACCCCATACAAAATTATAAATAATCGTAAACCTATTGTCAAGTTTTTCCATGTTTTTGGTTCCATGTGCTTTATCTTCAATTCAAAGGAACAAAGGAACAAATTCGATGTGAAGGCTGACGAAGGTATCTTCCTCGGGTATTCTCTAACTTCTAAAGCTTATAAGGTTCTCAACAAAAGATCCAAAAAGTTTGAAGAGACCTACTATGTTACGTTCGACGATAATTACATGATGAAGTTTTAGAAGAATGACAGTCCAACACAGGATATCTTTCCAAAACCGAATCCTACTACCATCCCACTCTCCAATCTTTACGGGGAGTTCCTGAATCTATTCGATGAGCCAGAAAAGGCAATTTCCTCATATTTCAAAGCAGCAGACAAAAAGGAAGATGAGTTAAAGAAAAGCATTGACGATGCTGCGAAAGAAATGGAACAGGAACACACCACTATGAAAGATCCTGAAGTTCCAGTTCACTCTAAGATGCAAATGTTCCATCGCGGGGGAGGGTTCTACCTCAACCTCCTCATCTGATACAACTGTTCAGGGGGAGAACCAAACCCCTGAAGTCAGCCTAAAGCCACCTTTCCAGGGGGAGAATCCGAATTTAGAAGATGATATTCATACATCATTCGAGGGGGAAAATGGAAATGCGAATGATGATTCGGATGTACAATCAGAGCTTGAAGAAGTGAATGCAGAATTGGATCCAACATATGATCCAAATTACCCTCCATTAGTTAAATGGACCAAAGATTGTAGCACCAGTTCCAGGTATTATTTAATTTATCTAAGTTTTAAGGTTTTGTGCATGGACTCGGCGAGTTGGGTGCTCCAACTCGTCGAGTAGAGGCTATTATGAGGACTCAGGATTTGGATGCTACTCGACGATTCGGAAGGCCCCGACTCGACGAGTAGGCGCTGTAGAGGGAAACCCTAATTTTCAGGGGTTTACACCCTATTTAAAGGACTTATGGCTCATTTGTAGCCTCCCTCATCGTCCTTACAGCCCAAAAAGAAACCCTAGCCGTATATTTGAACTTCCTTGAGTGTGTGTGAGCCTTAGAGAGTGAAACTTGTGCCTTTGAAGAAGGGAACTTGAAGGTAGAGGAGCTTGAAGAGAGGAGAAAGCTTGGGAGAATCTTCTAGTTCTTCCTATTTGACCCGAAACCGATCGATCTAGCCATGAGCAGATCCAACATCTACTGGTTGTGAGCATCCATTTAGAGGTAAAAAGTTACCACCGTGATCTCTATTTGCTTAGATCTCATTTCATGGATGGATGTGGTCACTTTTGGGTGCAAAATGGGGTCAAACTCGGATACGGACTTATCACAAGGATATGGTTCCAGATCTGGACCTCTCTAGGTCCCCAATGACATAAAGTTGCTCACTTTACACAACTTAGCCCCTTTCCATGCACTAAAACCTTGTAGGAAGCTTAGTTTTGTTGTTTTAGCCTTGGAGGACCTTGCATGCACATAAAGTTTGCAACTTTACGTAGTATCTGTAGTAGGGGAGGTTAGATCTGAAGTTTGGGACCTTAGATCCCACTAAAAAGGGCTGAACATAAAAGGGACTGAAGGAACTCGTCAAGTCCCTTAGTTGACTCGACGAGTCGGGTAGGGTTTACCCGTTCTCGAGCTTCTGAATGAGTGCAGTGAAGGATTAGAGTTTGGTCAGAATGGACTTTTGGCTTTCTGGACATTTGATGAACTCAACGAGTCACTTAGGTGACTCGGTGAGTTGAAGAATTATTTAGCTAACTCGACCAGTTGCTGGATGCACTCGACAAGTTGAGGTCAACATAGACTGTTGACCTTGACTTTGACCAGGGTTGACATTGAGGGTAATTATGATATTTCAGGATTGTGACAAGTTAATCATATGTTGGTTATAGGCAGTTGAGGAGGAGCAGTGTGTGGGATATATTGATGGGTTTTGAGCATTCTAACACTCCTAAGTGTACATGCAACCCTAGAAAACCTTGTATCTATGTTTGTCTAAAATACATGCAAAATACTTTTTCCAAGGTTCATAATCATATCTAGCATACATGGGGAACTTAAACATAAAAGATGGCTAGAATTACATACCTTGTAGTTGATTTGATTCCTTGAAAAAACCTTGAGAGCCTAGCACCCCAAGTGTGATGCCTCAAATGTTTCACACAACACCAAGTGCTTTGGAATGACTTTGAGAGAATGTAGAACACTTCTAAATTCGGCTTGCCCTCTATTCTCTTTAGTGTAGCCGATTTTGGTGGATGTTATGTTCCTTATATAGTGTGTTACACTTAGGGTTACACCATGTAAACCCTAATGTAACATGGCTCTTCATTTTCATGACCCATGGGTTTGTAACTCCCATGGAGCATCCATGGAGCATCCTATGGACCTTAGCCCAACTTGATAATCCATGGAGCATCTAGCCCACTATACAAGTATGGATGATTTACACAATCAACCCATATATTTAATTAGTCTCCTTTTTTATCACTTAATTAATTCTAGATTAATTCTTGATCAATACTAACTAAATAATATTATTAATATATTAGAACTTATAATATATTAATAAACCACAAGTGTTATTTCTCTCATTTAGTCTATCCAAATGCATGATGCCATGCAACCCAAATGGACCATGCCGGGTCGGGTCAAGTACATACCAGAAATAGTTATGGACTTAGACACCTTATCCAACAGTCTCCCACTTGGATAAGTCTAATAACTATAACTGCAAGTATGACTTCAGGAACCAATCAGCAATCGTAGCTCTTTTCAAGGTCTCTCGGAACTGAGAAGATGATGATACGCCATTTAAGATAAGTGATCATATAATCCTTTGTTCTAGATATCAGCCGGACAAATACATGGAACAATGTCTTACTTATTGTCCAGCAGTTTGTTTCTCGATTTCCAATTTGTTTGACATAGAACTTAATTGAACACATCAACTTAGTT